AAAAATTAAATTAAATTATGTAAATTGTTTTTATTTTATGTATATATATTCCAATTTTTTATATATATATATATATATATATATATATCTCATTATATATCGAATATCAATGTGTGTATTTGTGCACATGATATAAATATACATTTTTAAAATATAAAAAATTTATATATATATTTAGTTTTTCAATATGTGTTTTTATTTATGTTTTTATATTACATATAAAAATGAGGTCTTGAAACTTTTTATTTATTTAAAAAAATCTTAAAAAATTTTCTTTTAAGCCAATTTAGAAATTTTTTTATTTGGAGATATTACTTTAATGGTTAATTTTTTTATTATTGAACATTAATTTATATTTTTCTTATAAATGCCTGAATTGAAAAAATTTTGTTGACCCCCCAAACCTCTTTAATTCTTTCTTTGTTTTTTTAATATGATTCATCTTTTCTCTTTTCTTTTATTTATCAGGTTAAATTGCAACCAAAGACGGAAAATCAAGAAAGACAAGACTGGGGAATAAAAATTATTAATGGATTTTAAATTTAGATCATATCTGTGTTTTATTGTGCGCACAACATAAAACCAAAAATATAAAACTGAACTTTTTACAAGGTATCTCTTTTTGAAATTTAATTTTATTCCAGCCTAGAATATATAATTTTTAAAAAAAAATCTAAAAAAAATAATTATTTATAAAGGGTTAATATCAATGTTAAAAAATGAATAATTTAAAAACCGTTATTTAACTCCTCTCTTTTTTAAACATTTTTTTTTAGAAAATTTTTTTTTTTTTTTTTAATCCCCATCCTTCAAATTTAGGGCTATATCTATTTATCATCTGAAAAGTTTGTCAAATACTCCTTCTTTATTTAATTACGAAATATTTTTACATTTTAATTATTTTTCAAATTCATGCATTTTTGACTAATTTTTTAAAATTTTCTTTAATTTTTTAAATATCAAGGTTTATATTTTCTGTGTTTCTTTTTTAAATTTGAATAGAATTTGATAATTGGATCGTTATTCATTCCAATGGTAATAAATTATAACCATGGAATATCAAGTTAAATAGCCCTTTATAATATAAATTTCACGACATTTTTTGATTTTTTCTTTGGACATTCTTCCAAAATATTCTATCCTTTTGGGAATTTATTTTAGAATGAATATATATATATATATATAATTAAAAATTAAATAATATTATATATATATATATATATATATATATATATATATATATATATATATATATAAAACAAAAATTAGATAATAGGTTATTTTAATTTTCTTTGAATGGTTAAATTAAAAAAAGAAATGTGTGAATTCAAAAAAGCTGAATGTTAAACCATAGCAAATATTAAAAAAAAAAATCAAAAAAAAAATTGGAACCGGAATACAAAGACATATGTTGCTGTTTTTTATTTCTCCATAAAAAACACGTTTTTTTCTGGTTTAAAAATGTCACAGAAATTTTTTTTTTTTGTATTTAAAAATGTATGAACCTTAATGATAAAAATTTAAAAAAAAGAATTTTATTTTCAAAATAAAAATAAAATCATGTTTTTATTAAATTTAATTATACATTTGAAATTTTATTATAGGTTCATATAAAATATATATATATATATATATATATATAATATATATATATATATATATATATATATATATATATATATATATATATATATATAAAAATATATTTTTAAATTATTGTCGTTTTTATAATAGAAAATTATAAATAAAAAAAAATCAGAAAAAATTTTGAAAAATGTGAAAACGTTTAGGCACAATAATAGATTAGAAAAATTTTAAATTTTTGTTTAAAGACAAACTACAACTTTTTTTAATTTCTTAAAAAATTTTCTAGAATTTTTTTTTGATTCTTTTTTTTTGAAATTAAAGTATGTTTTTTTTATCCACTTTGAAATAAAGGTTGAACTGATTTCAATATATCCGGGAATAAAATGGATTTATTCCTGTACTGTGAATATTTATGAATTTGATATAATTCAAAAATAATTTCTTTCATCCTATGTTTGGAGAAAATTCATCATTTATAGAACCCATATCTTTATATCGAAAATATTTATTTATAGTCTTTAAAAAAAAGAAAATGGTGAAATACAATTTTTTTTCAAAAATTTTATTTTAGGGTTCAAATAACGTTAAGATTTTTAGAATATTATTAATTAAAAATAAAAATTGAAAAATATTTTTCTTTAAGAATTTTCCGATTCCTCAATTTCCGATAAAAATATCCACTATAATATCATAAATATATGTTTAATAAAGTGTGTGTGTGTATTGTGTGTCAGCATTTGCGTATTATATATATATATATATAAATATATATATATATATATATATATATATATATAAATTGTTAAATGATCCAAGTCTAATTTATTTATTAAAGACATTTTTATTTATAAACGGGACGTTGAATTTTAAAGATAATATCATATTTAAGCAAAAACCTCTTTTTAAGATAAAAGAGACAGTGAATTAAATAACATTTAATTAGATCTGAATGTCCTGAAGAAATGTTTTTTCATAAATCCATTCGTTCATAGACATTCGAACCTGCATCCTATGGAACTAAAATTTTTTAATAACATGATTTTAATTGTTAATGTTTTTAAAAAATGTTTATCTTATTATTAAGAATTTTAACTTAAATATTCTTGGTTGACCTTTTATAGCAAAACAACGTTAAATATAAATAAAAAAAATAAAAAGTAACAATTTAAAATATATAGAAGAATATGTTTAACGGCAAGTAAAATTTATGTGCCAAAACTGTTTTGAAAATCGTTAAGACGGACTAGACAATGTTTATCCATAAAAATGTCATCATTCAATTTCAAATGGACTGATATAAAGCCCTATACATTCTTTGGCCTTTTTTGAAGCGCTTTAGTCGATTTCCAGTTATACTAGTCAAAATCTATGAATGAAATCATTTAAAAACATATATAAACTTCAAATTAGTTTCAACTGTGTGGATGAAACACAGCTTTTTCTATTTCTTTTTGAAACATAAGATTTTCTAAAATATGATTTTTTTAAATAAATAATTATTCTTCAGCAACCCCAAATATATATATATATATAAATATATATTATATCATATTAAATTTTGGTGCAGTTCATTATATATAGAGAACATTCCATCATCTAAATTTTCAAAAATTAATGATCTAATATATATGTATTTCAATTTTTTATTGTTAAATATATATATATATATTATATATATATCATATATATATATATATTAAATATATTTTAGAATGAGTCATTCATACAAAAAGTAGATTAGTAAAAGTTAATGATATAAAATGGAAAAAACTCTTCGCAAAAAAATTTTAAAGTTGTATTAAAGAACCTGATAATGAATGTATTTAAAATAAATCTTTGGTTTTAATAAATACATATATATATATATTATTTCCTATTTTATTGAAAAAATCTCATTTATAAAATCTTTATAGGATTTACTAATCTACTTTTGTATGAATGATTCATTGTAATATAAATTGAACTGCACCACATATTTGATTTAAAAGAACGATTCGTCGTGCAAATTTTTGGGATAACAACTGAAGACATTACTTGTATTATTGAACAATTTAGTTCAATATGAAACATTTTTTTGATAAAATCTATCCTACAACAAAAAATTCTCAAATTACCATTATAAAAATAAACGCTTTTAAATTTTCAAAAAATTCAACCTTAGCGTTGCGACTCCAGTTTTCCAAAATCATTTTTATTCGTTAACAATAACACATTTAAAAAAAAAAAAAAAAACATATTTCGATTCGCATTTAATTTTTCGTCTTTGATGCTACCTGGATTTTACTAAAAATAAAATAATTTCAATGCCTGAGGATGACTGAATGTAAAGTTGAAAGTACTTGCAGATTAAAAAAAGACCTTTATACAGCTTGTAGTTATTAAAAAATAAGGATCATAACATTCATCGAGTGGTTCGTAGTTTTAATGTAACTTTAAAATTTTGTTTGTCGAAGAGGATTTCGCCATTTTATATCATTAACTTTACTAATCTACATTTTTGTCATGAATGATTCATTGTAATATATATATATATATATATATATATATATATATATATATCTATCTATGTGTGTGTGTGTTTGTGTGTGTGTGTGTGTGTATTCAACATTTTATATTCCCGTAATTTAATTATATCAAACAGATTGGAATGTGTTTTAAGCAGATTAAGCAAAAAACAAGAACGAATGTCTAATTGTCTCTTTTAATGAAACTGGTGCAGTTATATTGATTCTGGTATAGAATACTTTGGAAAAGATTCATAAATTCTTTTGATTCGTTGATTCCAATTGTTCCTATCCTCTAGTCTTATATCATTTCTTGCAACGTTAAATAAGTGTGGTTAAATCTATTTTCAAGAAAATAACATATCTTTGTTTAAAACATCAATCAAGTAGGTCAGTTTTTTGGGGATTTTTTTTCCTTTTTTTCACTTTTTCGATAAAGAGACAAGAATTTCTGTTTGGTTCCAAGAGGCTTTGTTTTGATTTTGCGGCAAACAACGTCAGCTACTCAAATAAATAAATAAAAAAAACTCTTTTCAGTGCGTTCTTCGAGAAATATTAGATGGAATGGAATCAAACCAACCAACCACCATTAGTAAAACCTACATATAAGGCGGACGTAATAAAATGTCAGAAGTCATTTCAGGAAGCCACCAATTCGAGGGAAGCTCATGCAATATCGAATCTGCGGTCTGAGAAAATAGACCGACAATGTTTTAATCATTCATCTATAATCTATCAAAGAAGCATTTGGCGCTCTTATCTATCGAATCCCATCTATCTGTCTGTTGTCAAACTATTTGGATTGGAAAATACTTTTTTTGTCAGATGGATGGACTTTGAAAAAATCTGTCTGTTCCATCTAGATATCTATCTAAAAAGGCCGTTATATGTATTTGGTAAAAGATGTAAATGTGGGTAGGGTGTGATCTATCTATCCATCTAAAGACGTTCAATGGTGTTATTTCTATACAAAAACGAATCGGTGGAAGAACGATGACGAATCGTTTAAAAGGAGATGAGAATATATTATCTATTACTATCCAAGTCATTTTGCACCTCTCATCAAAAGTCCCTATCTTTCTTATTCCATTATCTATCTATCTATCTATCTATCTATCTATCTATCTATCTATCTATCTATCTATCTATCTATCACAGCCACGTTATATGTATTTCAGCTTGTTCTTATCTATCTATCTATCTATCACAGCCACGTTATATGTATTTCAGCTTGGTCTTTATCTATCTATCTATCTATCTATCTATCTATCTATCTAAAAAATCTGTTGGTCTTTATCTATCTATCTATCTATCTATCTATCTATCTATCTATCTATCAGACCATTTTACTTTATAGTTATTTCATATTTATCCATCTTGGTCTATTTATCTATCTATCTATCTATCTATCTATCTATCTTTTTCAGCTTATCTATCTATCTCATCTATCTATCTATGTTCTATCTATCTATCTATCTATCTATCTATCTATCTATCTACTTCTATCTATCACAGCCATCTATTATAGTTATTTCCGTCTTTTTTATTATCTTTATCTATCTATCTATCTATCTATCTATCTATCTATCTATCTATCTCATTCATCTATTTATCTATCTATATATGTATCTATCTTAAATATTCATTATCTATCTATCTATCTCATCCATTTCATCTATCTATCTATCTATCTATCTATCTATCTATCTATCTATCTATCTATCACAGCCATTTATAGTTATTTCTGTATGATCTCTATCTATCTATCTATCTATCTATCTATCTATCTATCTATCTATCTATCTCAGTCTGTTCTATCTATCTATCTATCTATCTATCTATCTATATGCCATTTATAGTTATTTATATCTAGTCTGTTTCTATGGTCTTTTATCTATCTATCTATCTATCTATCTATCCATCTATCCGGATAGTTCTCAGTCCCATTTTTTTCTATGTATCTATCTATCTATCTATCTATCTATCAGCTATCTATCACTTTATAGTTATTTCATCTTTTGGTCTTTATCTATCTATCTATCTATCTATCTATCTATCTATATATCTATCTAAATATTATCTATCTATCTATCTATCTATCTATCTATCTATCTATCTATCTATCTATCTATCTATAATAGTTATATTTATATATCTATATCTCAGCTTGTTCTTGTCTCTCAATTTAATCATATCTATCTCAGTCTGTCTTTCTCAAGCTATTCTTATCTATCTATCTATCTATCTATCTATCTATCTATCTGTCCGTCTGTCCATCTGTCTGTCTCTCTGTCTATTTGTGTGCGTGTTTCTCTCTTTTTCTGTAATTCTTTCTTGATTTCTTTCTTTATTTCGATCTATGTTAAATGAGAGTTTAGCTGACTATTATTTGTAATGGGAACGATATCTCGGCTCGGACTTCCCCGTGTTGACTTTTGAGGTCAGATGGAAGACAAACGAAGGAAGTCAAATTTGATTGGCTGAGCCAGCCGGGTAATGTGAGAAATGTTTTTCGGGGAATTGAGTCTTAACCGTCGAACGTGTTTCCTTCATACATAGATCTGCTCCCCAGTGGAAGGAAAGAGCGAACCCACTAGCTTGTTAGAAGATGTATATGTTGAGGTTAATAAACTAGTTAAGGTAAAATTCCCTGTGTTGAAGTTCTTTCATCTGTGAACCAAAACAACTAAAGACTACCGACTGGGAGAAGATGAGTGAAACAAGAATGCAAATTTATTTATGGAATTGAAGCCGTTGCCCCAAGACCACCCCAACAAAGTGGCTATCTATCTATCTATCTATCTATCTATCTGTATATTTGTGCGCGTGTCTCTTTCTCTGTTTCTGTCATTCTTTCTTTCTTTCTTTCTTTCTTTCTTTCTTTTAGCTATCTATCTATCTATCTATCTATCTATCTATCTGCATGCATGTCTGTCTCGCTTTCTTTTTATATATCTATTTGTCTCTATTTCTTTTTCTATCTATCTATGTTTATTTGTGTGCGTCTCTCTCTCTCTCTCTCTTTCATTCATTCTTTCTTTTTTAGATCTGTCTGTCTATCTATCTGTCTGTCCTTCTCTTTCTTATATATATATATATATATATATATATATATATATATATATAACTATATGTTTCTATTTCTATTTTCTAACTATCACGCTTTTTTAATTTTTATATCTCTATCTATTTCGGTCTGATAATACCTATCTTTTCACATCTATCAACATCTATCTGTGCACATTATCTTTCTGTTTCTGTCTATCTCTCTATCTCTCGATCTCTATATATCTCTATATATATATATATATATATATATATATATATATATATATATATATTCTTTCTTTCCATCTATCTATTTTCTATCTTTCTGTCCGTTTGTCTATCTATCTTTGTATGGGTATATATATATATTTAGGATGCAGCGTTATGGCAAATGACAAAATCATGCCAACAAATCTAAAAACCTTCCTGAGGAAAATAGGTAGAGGAAATTGTTTTAAATCCAACGGTTTCTACCCTAACATGACGGAACAAGTCAGTTAGACCGATGGTCGGAACATAAGGGGCCTTGTTCATACTGCTAATCATGACAGACCATACGATTTCTTTTTTACACATTCATAAGGCAAGTGTTGCATTTGTAAAAGTAGAAAGTAAAGTTTGGTCAGAGAGGTCTTATCCTCAAGACTAAAGTTTGTATATTGCCTGTGTATTAATGTTCGTTTTCTCCTCTTCTGCAAAAGCCATATCAAATGTCATCAGTAATTCATCCAAAGATGTCTGAGATGCTTACTTAACATTATTTGACAGTCGTTGATACCAGATACTGTTGCTTTTCAAAGAGCTGAAAGCAGCAGTAATGAAAGATATGATGTGTAAGGCACGTTGTGAGACTGCGGGATAGGAGGATCTCCAAACAATCTTTCTACGGTGAACCGAAGACAGGAAAGCGTTCACAACACAAGCCTTGGAAGAGGTTCAAAGATAATTTGAGGATAATCAGAATGCATTGAACAAGCATGTGCAGCATTGGGAACAACTAACTTTAAATCGTACAGAGTGGAGGAGATTTCTCGAAAACTGGAAGGATGCAAGGCCTTTGCGGATGAATGCTTCAGACATGCTCAAATGAAGCTTGATCTCCGAAGAGGCACTCAACTGATTTGCTAACTGTTGGGTACAAAGGTAACCGAGCTTCTCTGCACTAACTTGTGGAATATTCGAATTCACCACCTGTTATGGGTTAAATAGTAGGAATCGTTTCTAGAAAATCATAAAATTATTAATGCAATATTCATTTGTTTCGCAAAATGTTTCGGTTTTAAATCACCCAGAAAAAAAATAGAAACAAATAAATTGCTTGAATAATGGTAGCTTCGTGAAATGTGTCTCATGTTTGCAACATTGTGCCATCGGTTTTAAGAGTTTGTCTGATTTAAAAAGCCATAGCCGTTCTAACATTTACGATGATATCTTGTGATAGTCAACGATGAATATGAGCCATCTTGTCTATAATATAATATTTATGAGAGGATTCATTCACTTTTGTCACCTCTTGGGCAGTCTTTGATTCCAGACACTTTTGTCCTCTAAATATATGAATAAACAGCACTGAAACAATAATAATCCTCAACCAGATGCGATGGGCAGGACACGTTTCCAGAAAGGGGGGGGATAACAGGATCCCAAAACAATTTTTTCTGAGTGGGGAACTGAATACAGGAAAACGTCCACAACTCAAGCCTGGAAAGGCATTTAAAGATAATCTGAAAGTTAATCTGGTTGCATTGGACCTGGATAAGCATAACTGGGAAGAACTGACTTTTTAAATCGTACAGAGTATTGAGGTACGACAAAAAGGAAGGATGCAATGCCTTTGCGGATGAAATAAATTCAGACATGCTCAGATGAAGAGGCATGGAACTGATTTGCCAACTGTTGGGTACAAAGGTAATCGATCTTTCTGTAGTAACTGTTCGGAATAACTCGCCTATCCGCGTTGAGAAGAATATCTGCTCATAAAAACGGTCGTCGCAATGTGGGTCGCAATGCCTTGTTGCACTGAACGACGGTATTCTCTATTATAAGTATTAAAAAGGTTTGTGCAAAAATAATGACGTAAGAATGTCGTTTTTCACCCAGAAAAAACGTCAAAAACGACATTATTACGTCATTATTTTTGCACCAACCTAATATAAAATATATTTTAATGTGATGAAACCTGTTCTTCCCTCAATATTTTGTCCCACCGTCAATTACATCGTTTTTAAACAGAACTACGGGCGTTATATGAATTTTATAACGCCAATTCATACGAGTCATGGAAATATAATTTAACTATTGTTGAAAAGTTTTTATGTAAATCATCTGAAAAGGTTTATCATAACAAACAGAAGCAAGAAAATTATGCCATCCTGCCTTATTTTCTGACAACAATACTTGTTGTTGTTTACAACAAAGTTTAGAAAAGATCGTCATCTGAACTGAGGAGGTACGTCGTGGTGCGCAGAAAAGATCAGTACGGCATGCAGATCCAATCATTAATGTCAAGGATGTCATATATGCATAATAAATTGAAATCGATACTGGTCTCAAAGAGTCAAGAATTTGCCATGGATGCGGAAACAAGACGGAAGCCATTACATGTAAGGCGAATTATGAGGAAATGGCTCTCATCTAAGTAAGATGAGACAATCACCAATGTGCGTAGGTAATCAAAATTTGTTTTGTCTTTACAGAAAAATTGCACATTCCTTGCAATGTTTAAGAATCATAGGTCACTTGTATGGAAATAATTTATTCTATTTGACTTTATTTATTTTTTTGTATGCCGTGCAGATCCGATCAACCCAATCAAGATATTGAGTTTATGTCATATATGCCTGATATCTGATGAATGAAATCATATGCTGGCCTTAAGAGTCATCCTATGGCCCATGGACACTGAAAAAGAATTCCAAGCAGTAAAATATGCCGTTTCCGATTTTCTGACGAAGAAAATTGCGCCATGGTGTTCTTTCTATGACATACGGTGCCCAACTGACTCTACTATACTGTGCAGTCGACAAAATTCAAAAACAAACAATACGCATGCGCGGAATTAAAACTCTAAAATGGTGACAATTTACCCATCGCGCCCTGTATAAAGAAACCGTCAGACACAGTGAGAGACGCTGAGATGATATTTAGATAATATTTAGTTTTCGCAACGGCCATTTGCTAAGAGTAATATAGAGAGAATGACGAGAATTAGTCAGAAGTAATATACATGATTGGCGACGAGGAAGATCAACATGGTTAAAAGTTTTTTACACTCAAAATAACACAAATATAGAAATCCAATATCTATTTATTCTAAATTTCCATTTAGTTTCTTCATAACGAGCACCCAGAATCATTATTTATATTACTATTTATAGATCAACCTATTTTTGCAATATATTCTTTCTCTCTATATTATGAATCTCTTTCACTCTTCACACACATATACGAAACACACACACACACACACACATTATTTATTATTTTTATTATATATATATATATATATATATATATATATATATATATATATATATATATAAATGTCTGAAAATATATAGAAAATAGGAAGGAACTGGTTAGGTAAATAATCCAAAGTCCCTTAGTATTTTAGTTATTATTTTTAGAAAATAGTGCTCGATACAAAAGTAGAGCATAATTATAATTATTTATTTAAAAATATGATTCCAAATCGCGACATAAGAGGTCTCATGTTTCAAAACAAGAGCCGAAAACTTCAATATAATTATTTAAATTAAATTGAGTTAAAATAAGCTCTGTTCCATCTTCAAGCGAAATTTTTTTGGGAATCAAAAATGTTTTTCCAACCAAAACAAGGACAATTATCCACATAAATATATGACTGCAAATCCGATGTTTTTGAGTTATTAAAAAAACATCTCTCTCTTCTCTCTTTCTTTATGATATCTATCTATCTATCTATATATATATACATATATATATATATAAATATATGTATATATATATATATATATATATATATACAGGATATAATGGAAAATTTCGATTACAAACTCTGGGACAAAAGTCTGATATAAACATATGCCTGCAAATTTTTCGTTTTACTGAAACTCTCTTTTTCTCTCTCTCTATATATATATATATATATATATATATATATATATATATATATATATATATATATATTTGGGTGTATTAAATTATTATTACAAACTTTGGGTGCGGATGGAAAAGTCCACATAAACATATGTCTGCAAAAGGGAATCAAATTTGAATTTTCAAAAAGTTTAAAATTTACGGTAAACGCTGTTAAATGTACAATCCAAGATATAATTCAAAAGAAATTACCATAAAAAAGCTTGCCACGGATCCTGTATCAGCAACGCGACGATAAATAGCAGCAAACGTTGGATGACTCGGCTTCATTTATCATAAAACGCAAATTGATACAATGATGCAGCCTCGTGGCCGTATCTAAAAATCATACTTGCCTGCTAACGGTATTAATATCCTGCCTTTCCTAAACGGAACACTTCTCAGTTAACTCACTGCTACACGCGTTAAATGTTGAGGACAGGCTAGTTATAAATATAGAAGTATAACAAATTTAACCTAGTCTATATAACAACAGACCGCCATCTACCCTAAATTTTCTTTAAACTTAATAGATGTAAAACAAAGGATATGCGAACATATGTTTAAGTGGACTTTTGTCCTTGTCTGGGCGTGAAGATCCCGACCCAAAAGTTTGTGAAAGTATTTATGATCTTTTTCTAATGGAAACGAACACCTTTCCTCTTAACTAATTCTGGCCGTCTTTCTTAAATTGCTGCCTTTAATTCATCCAGTTGCGAGCAGTACGTTTCAGAATCAATTGACTGGTTACTTGGCAGAAATTCATCGTACAGGATTCCTTTCCCAATCCCACCAGATGCACAGCATGACCTTCTTAGCATGAAGACCTGTTTTTGAGGTGTAAGGTTGGCTCATCTCGCTTATTCCCAGGATCTTTTTCAATAAAAATTGTTGTAAACAGT